GCAAGCCCAGAAGCTGCTTCCTTTGCAGATGCATAGCAGCATGACTAAGAGCTGCAGTTGAAGTTTCGGTGGGAGGAGGAAACAATTTTTTCATTTCTATATCACTACAGCAGTGGGAATCATCTCACCAGGCTTGCACATGACTTTCTGGGGCTGAGCCAATATGTGTGTTTGGACAGTGCATGGTTCCTCTGCAGCATATAGGGATTTTCAAGTAGCTCTTAAATATTTTGTAGTGAAATTGGGCAGCTACTGTGACCTCTGGTTTAACTGAGCAGGGGTTCCTGTTGTAAAAAATTAACAGCACTATGGGGCATTGTATCACTTGACAGAACTATATAGAAGCACATCATTCATTCCTCCGATCAAATCAGTCTGGTGGCTTCCTGGGCCTTCAATGGTGTTGGATGTTGTGTTGAAGTTAAACGCAGTAAAAATTATGGCATTGTTTTATAGGACTGCGAAATTCTAGGAATTGAAGAGCTTTGAAGCAACAAAAAGTAGCGTTTCTCCTCCATGCTGATGTTCTGCTCAGAATGGTCCCATTGTAGAGGAGAAAGAAAGCATTTAGCTTTTGATTGGTAACATTCTACTTTTTTTCAATAAATATACATCTAGTTAGAGTTTATGCTAAACTAGCTTGTGAACTGACAAGTGAACCCGGACTGATGTGCTGAATCTTCTGGGATGGAAGCCAACGGCAAATGAGGCACGTCATGACCTCCTGTGCCTGCTAAGGCCTGGTTTAGGTAACAAAGATGTATAGTAGGTATGTAATTTTGAAGGCAGGCAGGGTAGGAAGCCTAAGCAGGACCATGGCTTTCACACGGCCGCCTGGAGGCTGTTCTCAGCACTGTCCAAAGCTCAAGGATGATGATGATGATGATATGTTCTCCACAACAGCGGAGCACTGCAAGGAATCAGATTGGAGTCTAATGGATGCTCAGAGACGTGCTGGGCTGTACCGGGACCTCAGCATCGCTGCCAAGGTGTCCATTTGTTTGGAAGGAAGAACAAGGCTTGACACTGAAGGCATTAGGATGGATTCTTTCATCAATAGGTTAATAGAAAACTAGGCGGCAGGTTCCCTTCCTGCATACACGGCTGTACTCCCATGCACGATTAAACTATGAAAAATGCAAGCAGCCTGGGAAAGGGTCTTTATGTACTGGAGAGTCTCCCTCTTCCAAGGGGTGCCAAACCTCGTTTTTGCCTATTTATATGTAAATTTTTTGTCAGGAGAAGCGAGTTTTTTGCTGGGAGATTGAGCCTCTCTAGTTGTTGCTACCTGCTGGGACTTGTTAAATGTGTCTTAAACCTGAAGGTAGCAAACAAGTGGTTTTCCCAGGCTTAAATCTTGGGCTGAAAGCAGAGCTTTTTGTTAAGCAGCTGAATGACTTTGTGTCACTGTCCCTTTTTTTTGGTGGAAACAGCCCTTTGAGATGAGTTTTTGGGCATATTTGAAAAAAAAGTTCTGTCATATACTTAGAAAGAAAATTTTTTAAAATGTTTTATCACCATATCTATAATGTCACGTAACGTTCATGTTATCCTAAAGGATGAGGAGCCTCTCTGCTGCGGGGGAAAAGCTTTTCACTTTGGACTTGCTTTGCATTTCTTCCTAGCAGTCTCTGCGCTCAGTCAAAGCAGGCAACTCTTCAGCTCTAAAGTGTATTTTAGGAATGAATCATTACCACCGCTTCAATTTGTGCTGCCCCGTTTCATTTGTTTTTAAATTAAAAATGATGAATAAAAATTCATTTTACAGATTAGTTACCAGGCAGCAGCACATCCTTATTAGGTGCCTTGGTGGGGTGATAGGTGGCTGGAAAGAGGTGAGTCTTGGCAGATGGGATTGGGAAGGGCCCTGCGTAAATAAGACAGGACGTTCCTGCTATTCTCGTGCAAGTCACGTTGGAGGCCGGCAGTGTCCTGGTGGATGGACTTGGATGTTGCGAGAAAGAAAAATACATCGTGTCTGACAAAACTTGGTCTAAGCACACTGGTTGTATTTACTTCTCATGCTGTGAGTGCACTTCTGAGGCAAAGCGGGGAGATTTTAAAGACTGCAAAGGCTTTGTGTCTCCTACAGAGCACAGTATTTGAGTGCCTTTGAATGCTCTTTTCTGCTCATTGTAATGCAGCAACTCGGAGAATCAGAAAATTTGCTGCAATTCTAGTAGAGAACCAGTGACATCTTATATACTTTTATTTTCCAAATGAGCGCTTGTTTATTTTTTATGCATATAACTCTGCAGTGATTTGCCTAGTTTGCAGGGCATCACCAGCTCCTTGACACCCTTCGAAATAATTAATGCCGCAAAGCTCAATGCTACAAATTCTTGTTTTTTTCTGCTGATTTAAACCCCTTGCATCAGTATCCAAACTCCTGAAGTCGTCCTAACTGCCAGCATCCCGTGGCTTCTGTCGCTAACCAAGCAGCATTTTCCAGGAGTTGTTTGGTGTCTGGTTGTGTGTCCTGTGTTGTGCAAAAACGTTGCGCTTTCCCGTGCGGTTTCACGTGCTGCACCAGCCGCTCCGTTTAATCCCACGGAAGCCCCTCGCGTCTCGGAGCTCTAACGTCCTCCGCGTCGCCTGCGCGTTTGAGAGGTGCTCGTGTGCGTTTTGTGTGTGTGGCTCTTCCGGCATAACCGGCTTGTGCTCGTGTTTTACTTCTTATGCTATTTTGACATTTCTTTTTTATTTTTTTCCCCTTTCTCGCCCCCCGTTTTTGTTTTTTTTTTTCCTTATTTTTATTTTATTCTCTCTCTTTTTTTTTTTTTCTTCTCTCCTCTGCTTCTGCTCTCTGGACGCAGCCAAGCGCAAAGCGTGGAAACTAAATCGTGTTGGTAGCCTGCGAAATATATACAGCAGCAGCAGCACCAACACCGAAGGTAACAAAATGGCACGTTGTAGCTGAGCGCCTCCCCTCTCCCCCCTGTTTTTTGTAACCCGCTTTTCCGAAAATTGTCCTAGGTTCAGGAATGCAAGTCAAATTTGCCCCGAGCATGCGTGCTTTCATCCCGTGTTTGCAGAGTCGTTCCCATGGTCTTTTCATCTCCCCCCCTTTTTTTTTTCTTTTGTTTGTGCATTTTTTTATTTTGCCTTTCGTGTTCCTTTTCAGCTTACTTAAATTTTGACCTTTCCCTCTAGTCACGGAGTGGCGATGTTTAAATTACTTCAGCAACCCATTTTCCTCTCTTTATTTATTTAATTTTTCCTTCTTTTTTTTTTTTTTATTTTCCCCTTTATACATGCAGGCACCCAATGTAATATTTCCCAAGTTATTACAGTTTTTAAAAGTGTTAGCACCAGGTGTAATGATCTGTAGCCGAATACAATAGTGTGTGCCGTGACATTTAAGTAACAGTCTTAATTTGTTTTGTGAAAGCGTTCTCCATAATGCTCTTTGCAGCTCTAATCCAAAGGCGAGACAGTGCCGGGTCATTTGCATGTGCTGCTCTTGCTTGTAAATTCTGTATATTGTTGTATTTTTAAAGGTCACCCAGTGCCAAAGTTCACAAATTGACTTGCATTGCTTTTTTTTTTTCTCCTCACTGAAGACAGCCGTCATGGCTTTTATATAATAGCAGATTGAATGTTCTTTCTTTTTCCTTCCTCTACCTTCATTGGAACAACACAATTATAAACTTCCTTCTTTTTATATATATAGATGCTTTTTGTTTGTTTGTTTGTTATAACAAATGTCAAAGGTGAGAATTGCTTGGAAGCCGGGCAAGGAGAAAAAACCCTCTGCCGTCCCCTCCACTGGTGAATAAGGAGAGGGGAGAGAGTGGAGAGAGTGCGAAATATGGAATGCAAAATAGGTCACAACTCAGTAATCTCCGTATAACGGGATGGGGGGGAGGATTTTTTTTTCACTTAAGTGCGAACCAAATGGGTCAAGTAATCACGAGCGCATGCCCTAACACTAATTGACTTATTTTGGAATGATTATAACTGTAATATTTTTCTTAATGTCACTGTTTTCTGGGCTGTTGATTTTAGTGATTGCCAAGCAGTGGCATTAAATCTCCTGTAAATTTTAAATTGCATGCTATTTCTGTAAACAAGTCCCTATGTTCACATCCTGATCATTAACCTTTGGTGATTTATATCGCCGTCCCTTTCGCTTTTTTTTGTACAATTACTGCTGCACTGCTGCCTTGCTCTCGCTGCCAAAGAAAGTGTGTCAGGGAAACAAAAGTGCAATTTTATTGCAGCTTGTTATGGAATTTTTTTAAAAAATATGATTTTATTTTATTTCTTCTTGTAAATGTAAATTGTTACCTCCTAGGGCAGCAGCAGCAAAATTCTGGTTTGATCTTTTCCTTATCTATTTGGGCCCTGAGCACAAAATACGAAACGAGAGAGTAAATGATTATTGGAATAAGTTTGGTATTTTTTTCAATTTAAAAGAAAACTTACTCAATACTTTAAATAAACCGGAATTCTGCATTTTTTAATCTTAGCAAGATTTTTTTTCCTTCCCATCAGATGCAGGGCCACACTTGTTACAAGTTTGCCCAAGGAGTAAACTTGTGGTTTAATATCTACTTGTCAACAGAGTTTTAACAGTGAAACAAGTATAAATAATTGCCTTAAAAATGATTTTTAAAATCTCCTGTTTTTAGGGTATGCGTTTCAAGAGTCTTTTAACATATTGATCAAACCTAAGGCAAGTGGGGTGAAAGCACCTTGCTTTGTACAGGAACATGTCCGTGAAAGCCAGAGTGGAAGAGTTTTGAGAAATGTCACCAGCATGAAATTCTGTATCTAAATTGGACAAATTTGTGTGCCTTGGAAGTATTAGCCCTGCTAAAGGTCTGGTGTCCTGTATCATTTTGCATCCTTGAGCTTGTATGTTAAGCCTTTGCTTGATAGCAGGAATTGCAGGGTTGGCAGAGTTAATGAGCAGTGCAAGGACTAAAAGCCACATGTTTGGGTAATTATGCCTTCAAAAAAGGGAATGGTGATAGGAAATGACAGTCCAGAATAACAAATCTGCTTTAGTTTCTAGCACATGCTTGCTGCCTTGCATTTGTACCTTTCTGCAGGACAGAAATACTCCTATTGGTGAAGCGTTTTTTTTTTTGAAAGCTTGAGACTCGAGAGCAGCCCCTCAGTTACTTTTTAATTTTGGTCCTGTTATCTAGGTATTTTTGCATGCTTGCAGGTAGCAAAATCTCCCCTTGAGATGCAGAGCAAGCCTAGCAGGGCTGTTAAATACAGGAGTGCTCTTTCTACATCAACGAAACTCGCAGCACGGTAGGGAGAAGCATCTCACTGAAGTTGACAGTGCAGTTGGTAAACATTTATAAAGATCTTAAATCCTCACTCTTCCCACTCTTTGTCATCAAGCGCATGACACTGGAGCTGCAAAGCTCTCCTGGAGACCTTTTTTCCTGCACGTTTGTGGCCTCCAGGACCACCTTCGCTTTCAAAAGTAGCGATGCCCTTGCTGACCTGATGCTCCGCCTGTGCCAAAAGGTAGCAGGAGTCCGTGGTGCCCCACTATGGGATTTTACCAGCAAACTGTAGGCTCAAAACACATTTATATTTTTGAAATGAATGATATGAACCATCTAATGCACATCTGGACTTAGGAACTGAATTAAAACTTATTTTGAGGGCTTCTTCCAACCATCGTTGTCTCAGCACCCAACTTAACGAAGAGTTACGTGTGGCAGGAGAAGCCAAGTGGCTGCAGCAGGGACCCAGCCTTTCAGCGGCCGTTTCTCGGCCCCGGGTAGTGGTATAAAACGGTGCTACGGAAAAAGCCTTCCAGTGGAAGGCAACCTTTACCGCGAGCTGTGGGCAACGGATAGCACAGCTCGACTGTCCTGATAGGGTTGATTTTCAAAACTAATTAGATTTAGACATTGGGTTTGGAAAGGGGAGAGAAGTATTAGCATAGTCATGCCCAGTGGGACATGGCACAAATATTTCCTTAATTGAGGCGGCTAATAAACATACTTATCTTCCAAGTTGCGGGGATAATTTACGCTGAGTGGCAAAAAGGTAATGAGAGCTAATGTTATCTAGCACATGAAAAACACGCGTCTCTGTAGTAAACAAATTGTCAATTGTAAACATCTTTTCATTATCGTCCTTTGGAGAAGCTGAAGGGTTATTAGGAAGGGTGCTTGAGCACAGGCGAGTTTGGCGGGATGAAGGGCATGATGAAGAGGGAGCTGAAGTAGGTCTCAGTGTTACTTGGCGAGTGCTTGACTAGGTTGCAGGCTGGACCCTCGACTCTCGAAGCTGCTCAATGGCCTTTGGAAATATGTCAACTGCTCATTTGATCCTGCGCTTTTGTGCACAGAAAAGGCACCTTGTGTTAGCGGCACCACTGCCAGCGAGCTGATTAAAAGCCACTGTCTGGGAATTCAGGCGATCTGGGCTTCATTTGTGGTTCTGTTCCAATATTCACAGATGCCTCTCAGAAACTGCTTCATCCTAGGTCTCCATCATCCACCTGTGCAAGAGATTTTCGGTTTCCACACAAGTTTTTGGGGCAGTCTGAGCTTTGGAGAGCGTCGGGCAGAGAGATGCCCTTGCCTTAGGTTGACCTCAAGCTCCACTACTAGTTGCTCTCTGTATCTCAGGCTGATCTTGCAGTTCTGGATACTGGGAATAAAAGACACAGGAAGTGAAAATACTAAGAAAAGGTAGCAGTGGAAAAAAATATGCCCAGGGTAAGTGGTACCATGAAGCCCCTTGGAAATATTGGTGGTGACGATTGACATGCTGTTAGGTACAATGGACAGCTTTGTCCTGAAACTTGGGATTGCATGTCCACTTCCACCAGCCCTTTTGTGGGGGAAAAGAAAAAATTTCAATCACATCAATCGCATTCTGATCTCCCAATTTCACCTCTTTTCTCATTTTAGCCACCCCTTCCTGCTTAAAAAAAAAAAAAAAATCTAAACAAACAGCACCATCATTTTTTTGGCAGCTCCTGTTGCTAATAACTTCCAAATGTAAATCAGCTGCAGCTGTTTGTTAGCACTTTAACCCTTTGTCTGCTTTGCTTCCAGGAAATAATTGATGACTGATTGGCCCATTAACCTTTTACCAAAAAAAAAAGAAAAAAAAAAAGAAAGTTTGACAGCCCAGACTTGCGTAATGAGGAGGGATTCCAGGGGCAATCGGCTTGACGGCGGAGCTGCTTGCCCCCGAGGATGCAAAATTAGCCCCACGGGACCTCGTCTGCATGGAAACTGGACACAATTAGTGCAATATCCGGCGTTATTAATGTAGTTGGGAGTAATTGGGCAGGTTGATTTCGACAGGTTGATGGTGCTAAAATACTATTATAGCGGACCTTTCTGTGAATTCCTGTTAAACATGGAAAGCTGTGTAATGAAATTTTGTGATTGGGCTCCTAGGGGTTCAAATAGCATGACCTCTAATTTTCCTGGAGAGTGAAAACTGAACAATCCTGTCGTGCGCCTGGGCTGTTCTGTTTGTGCGCGGTGCTGACGGGTCTGCAGGCCGCACGGGTTGGCTGCCGCGGCTTCGCTTTGCGGGCAGCGAGCAGGAGGCTCTGCTCTTCTGCTTCCGAGCTGCACTTGCAAAATATTCCTTTGTGTTTAAGAAGAAAATGTATCGCTGAAGTCTTCAGCAAGTGCACTCGCTTCTTAAATGTCCTTCCAGCCCAGGCTTTCAATGTGCTGCAGGTCTTCTAACCCGTAGGAGGACAGGGCCTCTTGGGACATTTCACCAACCTGGGCCATGGATTTTCCACTCCTAAACTCCAAGGGATGTGAATCTTTGCCAGGCCACAGCTCTTCGTGTTGGGGAGCTTCTCAGGAGAGCAGCCAAGGTGGCAGCTTGTCACAGCAAAAAGGTCAGCGATTTAGACAAGACAGCCTTTCTTCTGGGAAAAGGACGCTTTGCATTTAAAAGGAGGACCATGAGAATGGCTGAGGATGTTTCTTGTTTTGTGCTCTAGCCTTACTAGCTGCTTGGGTGCCCTGTGCAGTAGACCTTCCGTAAGCAGAATAGCAGTGAATGCCAAATAATGCCGTGTAAAACTGGCTGGATTGCAGAATTTATTTCTGCTGGCCAAATCCTACACTTCTTGGCCAAGAGAAACCAACTTCATGGATGTGGTCGGGATTATTGGCAGATGGAAAGGGGGAGAATGGAGAATTCAGTTATGCCATGTCCTGTTTTTTGTTTTTTTCTAATGTGTAAGCCACTACACCAACTCACCCAGCACGGCTGTAATGCTGTACCCCCATGCTCGGGGGGTACTTGAGTGCATTTGTTCATCTCTGCACCATGCTTCGGGCTTGCCTGGGAGCAGGAAAGCAGCGGAGAGAGGCACAACCAAGACTCAAAGACATCCAGAACAGAACTGCAAATAGAGAAGGGCAGGATGCTTAGAGAAAGGAGAGAAGAGGACTGGAGGTGGGGAAAAAGGAGTGCAAATAAGGACCACCTTTGTTACTGCACATCATAGCATCCCCCTCCCATATATATGTCTTGCTAGCACTGGTACTGCATAATTGCTATGAAAATCTTTGAGCTGAGCATTTTTTGCTGAGTGTTTTATTTACCCTCCCTGCTTACAGAGTTCTTTCTGATATGCTCTTTTCAGAAAACTTTGCTTTCTGTGTGCTCACTTCTCATCTCTCTGCTTGCATCGAGGGAAACCTCCTTTGGACAGATGGAAGCATTTGCAGCCAATTTATATGGAAGGTTTTTTGGAGCTGGAGACTTTGGTGACTGAGCATTTGGAAATACTCCTTTAGCAAGACTTCAGAAGTGCAAAGACATGTCACATAACCATTAAAAAAGGAATGATTAATCTCCAAAATTGGATCCACTCTACGGGAGGCTGCTACAAGTGGGATGGAGTTTTTCATGTTCTCTTATCTTGCCAGTGTTCCTTCTGCTTTGTCAGGGCCCTCTTCCCTTCAGCCGGCCTTGCTGGAGGGG